CAGGCGGGAGCACCAAGGTCTTCCTCCTTCGCCGCCATTAACTGGGATCGGTTCTGACAAGTCGTTTTCCTATGCATACACGCCCGTCGTCGTTCCACGCTTCCGCCTTCCATCCGGACGACCTCGCCAGCTCCGTTCAGCCGCGCGAGAGTCGTCCCCCTGGACTCAGGACGTCGTCGTTCGTAGTCGTCACTTTGTCGTCGTCGTCTTCGTCCTCCTTCACTTCGCCCTCCTTTCCTCTCGTCCTCCATCGCTCCTAATTCTTCGGAGACCCTCGTCCTTCTCCCCCTCCTCCTCGTCCGCCTCCTTCCTCGTCCTCCTCCTCCTCGTCTCAGCGGCTCTGGTAAGGAAGGGACGACCCGTAGACCGAGGATCATACGGGCGGCAGGATCTTCTCGTCGTCCTCCTCCCGAATGGGGATCGTCGAGTGGTTGTACAGCCCCTGCGCCATCAGCTGCAACGCCAGCGGGTTCTTCTGGCCTGCGGACTGCTGGGAAACGGCCAGAAACTGGATCAGAGGTATGCACGTGGCATACTCCACGCTGACAATGGTACTCGTGTAATGAGATATTGATTAAGTATCATTCATGGGGTCTGTTTTTTTTTTTTTTTTTTTTTTTTTTTTTTTTTTTTTTTTTTTTTTTTTTACTATTTAGCTATTTAGCTAATTGAAAAAAATAGCTAAATAGCCGGTCATTAATTTAAGTGAACAGTGACACCCATTGTTTATGTAAATGGCAAATTTAATTGTTTTTTCACTTTTATATGGTCATTATACAGGATAGTACTAACCCACTAGCCACAACCGTGAAAGGGAGGAATTCCATATAAAATTGCGTAACATTGACTAGGAAGGATAATCTTTTTAATTTGTTTATTTTCTAGATTAGAATATTAGAAATATCTATTTAGATTCTTACTTTCATAACGTAATGATGAGACTGAACAATACTGATTAACATGATTCTTTATTGGTTTATATGGAATATAAACCACAATGCAGAATTAAATCTTTAAAAATCAATTTAGATCCATTCTAATCATCCTTCCTAATCATCTCAAATTCCAAAGAAATTGAAATTAAAAAAAATATCACAACACTAATTAAAAATGCCATGAAAATAAACAAGAAAACTAAGAAAAAAGAAAATAAGTTTGGAAAAATGAAAAAATGATAATAATTCCAAACTTAAAAGAAAACGACAGACTTAGACCATAAACGAGATTTCACCTTTTTTATTTTGGCACGTTTGTTTTGGAACCAGATCTTGATTTGACTCTCGTTCAGGCCGAGGTCCCTGGCCAGGTCCTGTCGCCGCTTCTCCGTCAGGTATCTGTGGGCGAGACGTGTCCGAAGGGAGGGTCAGTGTAAGGGGAAGAAAGGGAGGGAGACGGAGTGCAATGAGGAGGAAGAAAATAAAGGATCAAATCAATAATATGTTTGAAAATTCATGGTAATGATAATAGTAATGATAATAATAATCATGAAATAATGATAATGATAATTATCATAATTAGAGAATAATAATAAGAAGAATAGTAATAGAAATAATGATAATGACAACGTTAATAACAAAATACAACACTACAATGATAATAATAATATTATTATCATTATTATTATTGTTAAAAGGAGAAAAAGGTAAAAAAAAAATACAAAGAACAATAATGCAAGGAAAGGGGAAAAAAGAAAAGAAATGGAAATAAAAGAGAATTGAAAAAAAAGAAAATCCGAGGATAAATTGAAACAAGAATGTCAATGAAAAAGAAAAGCCAATAAGATAATCGTTTCTGTAAGGAGATTGAAGAAAATAGAAACGAAAGAGAAAAGAAAAAAGGAAAAATAAATCGAAAAAAGAAAGAAAAAGAAAAAAAACATTCCTTAATGTATGGAGGAGAAGGAGAAAACAAAGTGGAAAAAGAAATAAAGAATAAGCGAAATAAAGAGAGAGAAAGCAATGAAACCTTAATGAGAGATCATTGATATATGTAAAAGCAAGAAAAAGTGAAACTAAAGGCATGAAAATATGTGAAGGAGAAACTGAAAGAAAATATAAAGACGATAGTTTTGATATAGAAATGTTTGAAAAGCACCATGAAAATAGTAGAGAGAAAGAAAAAAAAATAAAATGAAAAATAGAAAAGAAAATAACTGAAAGAAAGGCAAGCAGAAGAAGAAAGAGAGAAAAAAACAATAAGAAAAAAAGAAAACAAAATCATTAAATGAAAGAAAAAAAAGAAAAAAAAAAAAAAAAAAAAAAAAAATATATATATATATATATATATATATATATATATATATATATATATATATATATATATATATATAGCCAAAAAAAAAAATCCAACCCATCCCTAGGGCGTCCATGACCTCGCCGAAGAACTGACCTGTTTTCCTGGAACTCCTTCTTGAGCCTGGCCAGCTGATCGGACGTGAACGCGGTTCTCGGCCGTTTCTCGTCCTTTTTATCTCTCTTCTTGATCCTCCGCGTTCTGGGGCCTGGGGGGGGGGGGAGAAAGGGGAAGAAGGGAAGGTGAGATGGGTCTTTATTTATTCTTTTTTTTTTTTTTATTTTTTGGTTTTGTTATATGTTTTGTTTCGTTTGTTTATTTTTGTTTATTTGCTTTGTATTGTTTCGTTTGTTATTTTTGCTTTGTTGTTTGTTTTTTGTTTCGTTTGTTACTTTGGTTTGTTTTGATGTATGGTTGTGATGGTGATGATGGTGTTAAGGATGATGATGACAAAATATATATGGTGATAACGATACTAGTGACAATCATGATATGAAATGCAAGACAACTATGATATCGTTTATGATAATAGTAGTAGCAACAACAATATTTAGGTAAATGTATATACTGTTTGATATCATTCAGACAGAAAGTAAAACCAAGTATTAACTGTCGTAATAGTTTTTTTTTTCATTACTATTGTCTTGTGAATATTTTTTTCTTTTGGTTTGTTTCATTATTTTGCTTTGTATTTCCAATATTCTAACGTTTATTTCTTGAGAAACAGACAAACAAAACGCAGGTCTGTTCCTGTTCCAATATAGAATAAAATAAAGATGAAACTTTCAGAATCTTGGTGAGTGTTTTTACCCTGTGTGTGTGTGTGTATGCAAATGAACATATATATGTGTGCGTGCGATTATTTATTTCTTTTTTTTTTTTCTTTCTTTCTTTATGATTTTTTTACTCTTGTTAAAAGCAATAATCATCCGTTGCTATTTCAATATCTCATCTTTTCGTTCATGAAAAATAAAAAAAAAAGATAACTAAAGCTCAAAATATCTCAAACTTGGAGTCGTTCAGCAAGCATTCAGAAGGTTTCTTACACCCAACAAATCTGTCGATGAAGTTCCTAACAAGGCAGCTTGTGTTGATAACATAGAGGATAAATCCACGGGAGATACGCGCTCTCTCTCTCTCTCTCTCTCTTTCTTTCTATCTCTCTCTCTCTCTCTCTCTCTCTCTCTCTCTCTCTCTCTCTCTCTCTCTCTCTCTCTCTCTCTCTCTCTCTCCTCTCTCTCTCTCTCTCTCTCTTCTCTCTCTCTCTCTCTCTCTCTCTCTCTCTTGCTCTTTCTTCTCTAATAACCTCATCCCTTCCCTCAGCCCTTTTTTCCCTTCTTGTGTCTAATCCTCCATTTTCTCTTTCTTACTTTCCTTTCTCAGCGACGGATATGGGAAGGAGAACGATAATTAGGTTAATTTTGACATGCATTCCTGTTCTTCTCCTTCCTCCTTCTCTTCCTCCTTTTCCTTCCTTCCTTCCTTTTCCTATTCCTCATCCCCTTCCTCCTCCTCCTTTCTCCCTTCTCCCCTCTCCTCTTCATTATCTGTCTCTTCTTCCTCCTCCTCCTCTCTCCCTTCTCCCCTCTCCTCCCTTCCCTTTTGCCATCATCCTCCACCCGCTTTTCCTCCTCTTCCCCTCTGTCCTCTTCCTTCTTCCCCCTTCCTTTGCCTCCCGTGTTTTCCTCCTCCTTTTCGCATTCCTTCTTCCCTTCCTTTTTCCTCCCCTCCTCTCTTCTTCCTCCTTCCTTCTACTCCTCTTTCCTCCTCCTCCCCCACCTCCCTTCTCCTCATTTGTCCTCCTTCCACCTTCCCCTCTCTTCATCCTTCTTCCTCCTCCCTCACCTCCCCATCTTCTTCCTTTATCCTCCCTCTTCCTCTTCCTTTATCTTCCCCTCCCCCTCCTTTATCCTCCTCCTTCCTCCTCCTCCTCCTCTTCCTCCTCCTTCCTCCCCTCCGCTGACGGAGTTACACTGACATAAATGGCTTGTAATAGATGGTTGGCCCCGTATCTTTATGTGTTGCTGTTTCCACGATGTGATATAAATTTCATATCACACCAATCGCGATGAAAGAAAAGTCGATAAATAAGACCGGATAAAAAAAAAGAGAAGAAAAAGGAGAAAAAATAGACAAAAAAATACAAAGTAGAGAAAGAGAAAATTGCTCAACCAAAGAAGGGGGGAGGGGGGGGAGCCAATCTTCGAACCGAACAGCGGCTGCATGTCGGTCTGGTCGAAAAGACTTGCGTTTAAAGATGTCTGCAAAAACGTTTTTCTCTTTGGAATATATAATAGTTTTTTCTCTTTTTTTTCTCTCTTTTTTTGTCTTTCTTATTCTACTTAAGGGAACACGTAATTTAGTATGGTTGATATTCTGTTACCACCTTTGTCACTATTGTTATTGTCATATTCATTGTCTTTCAAATTGTCAGTATTATATTTTTTTTCTTTTGCTACTGTTATCATCATCCTTTTCCTTATTTTGATTATTGGTAATGTCGATATTGTTAACATTATCATTATTTTTTGTTATTACTGTTGTTGCTTTATGATCATGATTATCATAATAATTATATATATATATATATATATATATATATATATATATATATATATATATATATATATATATATATACACATATATATATATAATTATATATAATATATATATATATATATATATATATATATGTATGTGTGTGTGTGTGTGTGTGTGTGTGTGTGTGTGTGTGTGTGTGTGTGTGTGTGTGTGTGTGTGTGTGTGTGTGTGTGTGTGTGTGTGCATTTGAGTGTATATGTGTGCGTCCATTTGACTGTGCATGTGTGTGCGTACGCATATGCAATAGTCATTTCTGGCTGATAACAGCAACCCAAATGATTCATCTGACAACCCTCGATAACCGTGGTATCAGTCTTTTGAAATCGTTATCTCTGCTTAAAAAAAGATTATCAGTAGCATGTGTTTACGTCCGTCACAGAAAACGGGGGGAGAGATAACGAAGCGATAAGAGCGCCGAGGGTGTGATAAATAGATAGCTGATTTGCACTTTTCATGATGGAAGCTGCATTTACATCTGCGTTATCAGCTGCAGGTGTCGTCTGAGTGCGTGTCTTATCTCTAAAACAGGTGTTTGTAACGTCCCGGGGTATGGAGAGGTAGACATACGCACGTGTGCATAGACATAAATACACACACACACTTGTATGCAGATGTAAATACATGACGAAGGATACTCTTTTGTGTGTGTGTGTTTGGGTTTGTTTGTTTACGTGTTTGTTTGAGTATGTATGTGTTTTTGAGGGAAAGCATTCGTGCGTGTATGCATCGCAGCGTGCCTGTACGTGTCTATGTACGTTTGCGTTTTGCACATGGCCTTGTGGGCATGTACGTGTATCCGTATAGACTAAACACAAACAAACACAAACACACACACACACACACACACACACACACACACACACACACACAACACACACACACACACACACACACACACACACACACACACACACACACACACACACACACACACACACACACACACGCGCGGCATACACACCCCCACATAAACGCATACTAAAAATCGTTTAATAACCATTCGCGTGCCATCAAAGAGACTGATTCGCATAAGAAATGGAGATGATTAGCGACAATGATTTTTCAAATATGGCTGCGAGGAATTCCAAAAATCCGGAAAATTCCCATCCACGCGAGACGGCCGCCCATTTCGAGGGGGGGAGAGGAGGGAGGGAGAGAGAGGAGGGAGAAGAGAGAGGAAAGAGAGAGAGAGGGGGGAGAAAGAGAGAGAGAGAAGAAAGAGAGAGAAAGAGAGAGAGAGAGGAGAGAGAGAGAGAAGAGAGAGAGAGAGAGAGAGAGAGAGAGAGAGAGAGAGAGAGAGAGAGAGAGAGAGAGAGAGAGAGAGAGAGAGAGAGAGAGGGAGAGAGAGAGAGAGAGAGAGAGAGAGAGAGAGAGAGAGAGAGAGGAGGGGGGAGGAAGAGAGAGAATAAGAGTAAGAAATCAAAGGTGATAAATAGTACAATGAAATGAAGCAAAATCAGAGACAGAGGAGAGGACAGAAAGAGAGAAAGATTGAGGAGAGAAGGAGAGAAAGAGAGGGGGGAGAGAAAAAGAGAGAGAGAGGGTTGTGGAGAGAGAGAAAAGAGAAGAGGGAGAGGAGAGAGAGAGATGATAATAAGAATTATAAGAATAATGGTGATAATAATGATGATTATAATGATAGTGAAAATAATATTAGTTGTTATATTAGTCTCAATAATGGTATCAACAATATCAACAATAACAAAAACAATAATGATAATAAGTATTATGGTAACAATAGATTAAAAATATATAATAGTTATAACAACAATTATTATCATAATAATGATTATGAAAACGATAATAGTAATGATGATAATGATAATAACAAAATTGACAGTAGAAAGGATGATAATGATGATAATAATGATGATGATGAAAATAAAGCTAATAAAACAAAAATAATGAAGATAATAATACTGATAGTAACAATAATGGTAATGAAAGATAATGAAAATAGTAACAATAACAACGACAATAATAATAAACACAGCCATAATAATGGTAAAACACCATAATAAGTAATGCTAATGATAATAGTGATAATCAGAATCAAAATCAATAACACTGATTATCTTTTGCGTTTAACAAAATAATCCAAATCAATATTATTTATATGAGACACCGTGCATAGAGTTCTCATATACGATGCTATAACATAACAGATCTGATTTTAATTAATCTCTCATTTACATCATAATCTTTCTTACCGCACTTTGTCATAAATCCAACTTATTGTTCTTTTACACTGGATATTGAATGATAATGATGATATAAATACTAGGCTGTTGGAAGCAAGTTGGTATTCTTGGCATAATTGTTTAATGATAATGATACACATCTGAGTTAATGCGATGCTGAAAAATACCGTAGGATCAGCATTGAGAATAGGATATAAGTATTATCTTTATAATGTTAATAAAGATAATACTGCTAATAATAATAATAACAATATTTATTATTGTTATTATTATAATAATAATAATAATAATAATAATAATAATAATAATAATAATAATAATAATAATAATAATAATAATAATAATAATAATGTTAATAAAGATAATACTACTACTAATAATAATAACAATATTTATTATTATTA